TCCTCATTTTCTGAATGTTGAGCTTTAGGCCAACTTTTTCACTCTCCTCTTTCACTTTCATCAAGAGGCTCTTTAGCTCTTCTTCACTTTCTGCCATAAGGGTGGTGTCGTCTGCATATCTGAGGTTATTGATATTTCTCCTGGCAATCTTGATTCTAGCTTGTGCTTCATCCAGCCCAGCATTTCTCATGATGTACTCTGCATATAAGTTAAATAAGCAGGGTGACAATATACAGCCTTGACGTACTCCTTTTCCTATTTGGAACCAGTCTGTTGTTCCATGTCCAGTTCTAACTGTTGCTTCCTGACCTGCATACAGGTTTCTCGAGAGGCAGGTCAGATGGTCTGGTATTCCCATCTCTTTCAGAATTTCCCACAGTTTGTTGTGATCCACATATCAAAAGCTTTGGCATGGTCAATAAAGCAGAAGTAGATGTTTTTCTGGAACTCTCTTGCTTTTTCAATGATCCAGCGGATGTTGGCAAATTGATCTCTCGTTCCTCTGCCTTTTCTAAAACCAGCTTGAATTGAACATCTGTTCACGGTTCACGTATTGTTGAAGCCTGGCTTGGAGAATTTTGAGCATTACTTTAGTAGTGTGTGAGATGAGTACAATTGTGTGGTAGTTTGAGCATTCTTTGGCATTGCCTATCTTTGGGATTGGAATGAAAACTGACCTTTTCCAGTCCTGTGGCCACTGCTGAGTTTTCCAATCCCCATCCTAGTTGCAGGTTTTTGGACCAGGAGTTTGCTCCTGACTTTCTCCTGGGAATTTAGAATTGGAACACTATGAAACTTAATTCAGAAATGGGGACACTGAAAGCCTGAATCTTAGAAATAAAATCAAGTAGAGATAGGGCAGGAGTTAGTGCCATGGCAATCCTATACTACATGTGAACTGAAGTTTTGGTGGTGTGAAGAAAACCAGAAAAGCTAGGACAAAGCAATCCTACCAATAGAAGAAATTGTGTTGTGGTTCTGCAAGAGTGGGAGAGACCCCTACAGTGCATGGCATTCCAGTTTCCATTTCTGTGTCGCCTGACTGTAATCCAATTCTTATCCTCGAGTGCCCATGGGATTGTAGCATTTACTACTACAATAAATCCTGCATTTCAAGCTAGTGAGATTAGATTTCTATCACTTGTTATCAAACATGCCTAGACAGGAGGAAAGTTGTATGCAGTTGATCTTGAGCAAAAATGTGGAGTGAAGGTAGGATCATCCCACAGTGACAGTAAGGTGGGAAAATGGTAGTCCATTCAGTGGTGGCAAAGCAACCCCTTAAGTTATAGGCAGCTGGGGTCTTATTGGTGGTCCAGTGGTTGGGACTCCACACTCCCAGTGCAGGGGGCATGGGTTCAATACCTGATTGGGAAACTAAGATTCTGCATGTCACACAAAGCAACCAAAAAAAAAGTTATAGGCAGCTGTCTCAAGCGTCTCTGAGTGGGTGCCCACCAAGGAGGAGGATTTGCAGTACTTGGTAGCCAAATATAAGGATATCTGAGTGAGTTGGTTATTACATCTGGTGGCTTAAGTAAAGAATATCAAGAAAGAGGCAAATTCCTTCCAGGATGCCCAGCTGAAGGAAGATAAGGAAAAGCAAGGTCCTTAAGTAATTTTCATGGGCTGCTCCTCCTGTCCGTAATAATTTGTCCCAGAGCGGTACTGGCAACTCTCTAAGGTTTAAAATGGCTTTAATAGGAAACTGTATCAGACTCTACTGAGTGATGCTTTGGAAAATTGTTAGTAGGTCTGACAGTCATAAATAAATCATTTTGCAGAGATTATTTAAATTATACATCATTGGTAATGATTATTCAGGTGTAATGAGTTTAATTGATTACAAGAGTGTTTTTTTAAAGATGATGTAATAACTGCCAGTGTTAGTTTGTTGTTTGAAGTGCTCACTAGTGGGAATGATTTAAAACTTTGAAGCATCTGATTTGCATTAGTTGTGAGAGATATTTTAAAATATGTAAACAGGATTGGTGCTCTCCTGTAGCCCTGAATCACCCTGGCACTAAAAGAGAAGGCTTTGGTTAATGCTCTAAAGCTCCTATTTTGAGGCAGTTATCTCAGGCAAATTCATAAAGGCCAGTTAAATATTGGTTCTTGTCTCTCCCCAACCAAAGGGGGAAAAAAGAAGAAGAAAAGAAATCTTGCCACCAACCATACATTTCAGCCAACTGTGGTCAAGCTGATACCCACCTAGATGAACCATTATATGTCTGCCTTCCACATTTCTACCTCTCCAATACACTATGGACCAACTTGGAGATCCAGGGGGTGTCACAACAATATTGACAAGTGGGAGTCAGGTAGGTGTACTGCTCAGAGCTCCCTTCAAGGAAAAACTTGCCATCCAGCACCAAGGAATTCTAATCAGCTGACAGCCTTCAGCTATTCTGTCTTCAGGATCCACCTCATCATTGGAGCTGAGGCCAATCTGTTTCAGACAGCTGCAGCCAGTGACTCAGCACGCTAGAAGTTCAGGGACTGGCCATTTGAGTTGTTTTTTAAATTAAAAAAATGTTTTTAATTGGAGGACAATTGCTTCACAATGTTGTTAGTTTCTGCTGTACAGCAAGGTGAATTGGCTATAAGTATACACATATCCCTTCCTTCTGGTGCCTCCCTCCCCCTCCCTGCCCCCCTCTAGGTCATCACAGAGCACTGAGCTGAGATCCCTGTGCTATATAGAAGGTTCGATGTGGGGCTCTTCTAATGGCAGTCTTTGCTCCAAATCAGGCTTTTCCTGCCCAATCCTGTTTCAGCCCCCTTTTGCCTTTCATAATCTCTATCCCCCCAATAAACCTATTACATTTCTAATTCAAGCTCCATGTTGGCGTCAAAGAGGACCTAACTGAACATGTGATTTCACTTTTATCTGCTGCCACCCCTGAACCAAGACCAATGCTATTTTCATGAGAAGTCGTTAGATTGAAAAGGAAGAACTTCAATAAAAAAGGTTCATAAAGACTTCCACTACTGATTTCAAGCCATGACCAACCCAACATGCTGGCAGTCTGAGTCTACTGGAACCCAAATGAAGAGACAGCTGTGAGCCTGGCTGAATAGCACTATCTGGTTTCTACGTCATGCTGGGTTCCTTGGGTTAAAATTAATGCCCTAATTGGAAATGCTCTTGGTCATAGGAATAGGAATGCTATGGAGAAGCCAAAAGAAGTGAAAAACTCTGAATCTGGGACCCCTCTAAAAGCCCAAGTCCTCCAAGCTAGACAAATGTGATGATTCCTCCAAATATAAGGCCAGACCTGAGATGCAGTTGGGTTGATTACAAGCAAAGGCCAACAAAGCCCCACCTATGTGTCAAGTTCAGAGCCAGGCAGAGAAAACGTGTGTGTGTTAGTCACTCAGTCGTGTCCGACTCTTTGTGACTCCACAGACTGTAGCCCGCCAGGCTTCTCTGTCCATGGAATTCTCCAGGCAAGAATACTGGAGTGGATTGCCATTCCCTTCTCCAGAGGAACTTCCCAACCCAGGGATTGAACCCTGGTCTCCTGCCTCACAGGCAGAGAAAACATAGCCAGGGAGAAAAAAACAAAACAAAACAAAACAACCCTGCCCTCATGGGGAGCATGCATTCTTGGGAAGGTGGGGAGGGGGAGATAATAAAAAGGTGAATTATTTGTTAAATGGTTATACATGCTGTGGAAAAAACATGAAGCAGATAAGGAGGATGGACTCTAAGAACAAGGTTGCAGTTTTAAATAGGGTGTCTGGGAAGGCCTCACCGATAAGCTGGCCTTTGAGTAGGAGGTACCAAGAAGTAAGCCATGTGTATGTAAAAACAAAAAGCACTCCAGGCAGAAAGAATAGAATTTGCAAAGACCCTGAGATGGAAACGAGCTTAGCATAGTTGACAAGCATCCAGAAGCCAATGTGGCTGGAGAAAAGTATCAAAAAGGGATAGTGGTAGTGACATGAGGGCAGAGAAGTAGCCAAATCAGGTCATGTAGGGCCGGGTAGGCCACTATTGGGACTTTGACAAGACGGAGGAGCTATTGAAGGATTTTTATCAGAGAAGTGACATGATCTGGCTTATTTGAACAAATTCACTCTGCTATGTGGATGATAGACCATAGAGAAGTTTGAATGGAAGTAGCGAGGCCAGTGAGAGGGCAGTGCACCAATTGAGGAGTGAAATGATAAAAAGATAATGGCATGGAACAAATAGCATAGTTTGCAGAGGTGAAAAGCTATGGTGGGACTCTGGATACATTTTGATGTAGGAATCTGACTTAGAAACTGGGCTGCTCCAGTGGTCAAACTGGTCAAAGTGGGTCTGACTTAAATTGGACTAGGTCCATGGTGAGGCCTCAGATGAATTAAAATTTGTTTTAAGGCTGAACTAATAAGTTAAATTTACCATAGATAATCTTAGCATTAAGATTTTTTTTGAAGTACAGTTGATTTATAATGTTCTCATTTCTGGTGTACAACACAGTGATCCAGTTACACATATATATACATTAAGAAATATTTTCCAATATGGTTTATCCCAGGATAGATACAGTAGGACCTTGTTGTTTATCCGTGCGCCTGTGAGTCGCTCAGTTGTATCCAACTCTTTGCGACCCCATAGACCATAGCCCGCCAGGCTCCTCTGTCCACAGAATTCTCCAGGCAAGAATACTGGAGTGGGTTGCCATGCCCTCCTCCAGGGGAGCTTCCCGACCCAGGGATCAAACCCAGGTCTTCTGCATTGCAGGCAGATTCTTGACCGTCTGAGCTATCAGGGAAGCCCCTGTTTATCCATCCTATATGTAATAGCTTACATCTGCTAACCCCAAACTGCCAATCCATCCCTCCCCCTTCAGGTCCCTTCCGATCCCCATGTCCCCACCCACAAGTCTGTTCTCTCTGTCTGTACCACAGATAATCTTGAATTTCAGTGACTGCAGTGGAGAAATTGGAATCATCTTACTTTTGATTTATTCTTATTCTCGATACAGCTTCACAGCAATGCCACCTACCTTCTTAAAAAACAGACGATCGGCACCCAAGTGCAGAACGGTGAGCTGCACATGGCGTGCATCCCCGCGCGCCGGCGGCGGGAGCAACAGGAGGCTGTACTCTGAAGAGTCTTTTCTGGCTTCTCCGTTCACTTCCAGGTGGTGATGCAGGGACACAGAGATCTGGGCACCACTCGAACTAGGAATTCCTGGTCAGAGACTGAGACGTTAGTTGGCCCAAAGGTAAGCTAAATTCCCGGAGGAGGCGGAAGAGAAGCAGTGGTCATTGTATTCTGAACTTTACGGTTGGACCCCAGGGGCGGCTGGGGGCTTGACTCTGACCCTTCCCTCTTTCCTGATGCTGTCCTTGACCATCAAAAACGACCTCAGGTCTCCACCCAGGGCTTTGCTGACAACTCAGAGGTGGCAGCCATGAAGAGCCAGCAAATTTCCAAAGACTTCATCAGCCCCATTCCAGCAGCGTGACGTGCTGAGTCCCTGCAAGTTCTGACACCTGTGTGACTTTCCCCCTTCTTTCTCAACACCGAGTTTTGGACCTTTATCTTCGCAGCTCTTCCTACAACTGTTTTAAAACTGTTGTTGAGGTGGGAGAGAGGCCAAGACGGCAGAGAAGACGGACTTTGACCACACCTCCTTTCAGGAACACACCCAAATCACAGCTGCTGAACAATCATTTCCCAGACTAGCAAAGGTAAGTTTGATGGGTCCCTAGAGCAAAGGAGATCTGTGCCCAGATTCTCAGCCATGCCCCTGGGGAGGAAGCAAGACCCAAGAGAGGAATGGGTGCTACTTGGTCAGGGCCAGCGTGGGTCTCAGTGTAGACCAATCACAGAGGACCACATGGGCGCCCACACACAGCGCCCACAGACAGTACCTTGACCCTTCATAAGATCCCACACATGGACGACAACCTTTAGGGAAGGGAAACCCCCAAATGACCGAAGTGACATTTTACAAAAATGTCAAGGTCATTTCCTCTTTTTTTTTTTTTTAAATTGGAGTACAGTTGATTCACGATGTTGCGTTAGTTTCAAGTGTATAGCCAAGTGATTCAGTTATACATATCCATATAGATAGATAGATAGATGCTTTTTCAGATTCTTTCCCCTTATAGGTTATTACAAAATATTGAGTATAGTTCCCTGTTCCATATGGTAGGTCCTTGTTGGCTATCTGTTGTATATATAGTAGTGCATATATGTTAATTCCAAACTCCAAATTTACCTCTCCCCACCCCTTTCCTCTTTGGTAACCATAAGTTTATTTTCTATATGTGTGGCTTTGTTTCTGTTTTTTAAGTAAGTTCATTGGTATCTGTTTTTTTAGATTCCACCTATAAGCAATATCATATGATATTTGTCTCTCTGTCTGACTTCATTTAGTATGATAATCTCTAGGTCCATCTATGATGCTGCAAATGGCATTATTTTATTCTTTTTATGGCTGAGTAATATTCCACTTTGTGTATATGCACACACACACGCACACACACCCCACATCTTCTTTATCCATTCATCTGTGAATGGACATTTAGGTCCCTTGCATGTTCTGCCTACTGTAAACAGTGCTGTAATGAACACTGAACTGCATGTATACGGAAAGGTCATTCCTTGCACCCATGGATTTGTGAAGTGAGATTTATTAATGTCACATCCTTGCTTTATCAAAGATGTATTATGTATAGTTTAGCTTTCATGTCATATGCAGTTGATTATAAACTGATAATTTAAAACTGGACCCCAAAATATGGTGTTGACAAAACTTTATTCTTTATGATCACATGTATTCCTGGTAATAATGCTGTGAGATAAAAAGAACATGTATTACTCCCACCACCATCCCATTTTACAGGTGAAAAAACTAATTCAGAATGGTCAAATGAACAAAAGTCACACAGCTATGCTAGACACAGAGTTGATCTGATATGTAACTGCATAAAATCCTTATGTAATATCATGCTACCTCTATTAATCAAAATGTTGATTTTTAAGAGCATTCCATTTCCTGACCACGTTAAACAAGTACACATTTTCTGTGTTTTGGATTAGTTTTTCCCAGCAAAGTGAATTTGTGTTTTTCACAATTCAGTTTCAATTTTCAAATATCCATTATAGAACTGATGCCACATTATTTGTTAATTGTTGCCTAATTGTTGAATTTTCTTGTCTTTTGGTACAGCTAAACAGTTTTTTTTTTTTTTGGATGAGACACATTTTGCTAAAATTACCTGCTGTTGTTTGTGATTCCGGTGGTGATGCTGCCAGCTGGAGAAAAGGGGCGGCAGCTTGAGTGAAATTCTCATGTTTGATATCTTCAAAGTGGAACCCGCAATTACTTCCCTCCATTTAAAATTTTATAACACAGTGGGGCTACTTAGATTGTACAATGTAGTCCTAAGGTTTTTTTGATGTTTCCCCAAATTCTGAGACTTGTTTTATAATCATGACTGCATAAAAACTCTCAGTGGCTTAACAGACTTACATGGTTACAAAGGAAGCTCACTTCCATAAAATACTCATGTAATAAAAAAAAACATTTTCTTTGGTATTCAGCTATGTTAGTGCCCTGGAGAAGATGAGCCCATGTTAGTCCTTCACCATCAAGTTGTATATTGCTATTATGACAGCATTCCAAAAGCATTTGTCAAAAATAAAAATAGACCACTTCATTTCTTTCTAACATCTTCACAAAGAAGAACAAAAGGGGACCCAAGTACTAGATAGGAATGATTTTGTAAATACCAGCATTGAGCAGTGACTACAATATGAAAAGAAACCAGTATGATGAAAGACCTGTTTCGTCTGTTTCTCTATTTTGATCCTCAAAGCAAGCGTGTGGTTTACAATGAAAACCAGCTTCACTGAGAGTGTGACTATGAAAGAGAGAAGCACAATGGTGCAGAGTTGAGAATTCTGGGTCAGGAGGGCTGCCAGCCCAGTTTTGTTGCTGACTTGTCAGCAAATCATTAACCTCTTTATGTATAAGAATCTTATTTGTGAAATGAAGATCCCTCCACCAGTTCTTAATCAAGTGTTAATGGTTATTAGAAGGATTAATTGTACGATTCCTTGAGTTCCAAAGGGGAAAATGAGGTGTGGAGTCAGCAGCCATAATCTCTTAACTAGATGCTGTCATATAGACCACTATAGGAGCAGCCTGTGTGGCTTCCCAGGTGGTTCAGTAGTAAAGAATCTGCCTGCCAATGCAGGAGCCACAGAAAACCCGGATTCGATCCTTTGGTTGAGAAGATCCCCTGGAGGAGGAAGTGGCAACCCACTCCAGTACCCTTACCTAGAAAATTCCATGGACAGAAGAGCCTGGTGGGCTATAGTCCATGGGGTTGCAAAGTGTCAGACACGACTGAGCACACATGCACAGGAGCAGGCTGCCTGTGCTTTGACACTCTCCTTCCCTTATTTAGGAAAGTTAAGCTATAAAAAATGAATTTTTAAACAATAATTTCCAAACAAAAACAATAAGAATAAGCACCTTCTAATCACTATATTAGAATCAATCACTTCATCAATTAATTAATCCATCAAATTAACAACCAAGAGTAGAAGCACCATCTAGAAATTTGCTCCCCCCTGTTGAACCCTTTATGGGAGGTAGATATTATCCATGGACATGTGTGCACAAAATTCTTTTTTAAGCCATACAAATAGTTCAGTGCCTAAGATTCCATGATAGCATGTAGAATCAGAATGCAAAATTATAAATATAAAATTTCAAATATTATGTTCTAACCATCATCAGTTTTTAAAATTGGACAAGCTATATCTGATCACTATATTGTTCTTATTAAATGCATTTTTAATGAATAATAATTGTTTTAATTTTCAGGGGTAAAAAAACTGGACTAAGGCTATAATATAATAAGTTCAGAAGTCTTAGCCAGCATACTTAAAACAGTTATAAGATCTATCAGTTTTATCTCTCAGATAATTGTTGCCATATAATAGCTGGTCTTATACCCCTCATAAACTTTCAAATTAAGCTTCTACATGCTCTCCTGATTCATAATTTCGTTCTCATGGACACCACTGATATCAGTTAAAATCAAGTCACCTAATGGCTTTCTCTTTAGGAAACTTGCTACTGGCCGCTTATCTTACTTAGAATGAACAATTCTCTTTATAAGGGATTGAAAATTCGCTAAACAAACACAAAGCTGGATAATCAAGAACAATAACCAAATCAGAATATGGAATACCCAGTCTAATCTATGACTGGGAGAGTGTTAGTTCTACCGTTTCTGAGTTATAAAATGAAACAACTGAAATGTTGGTCCTTTTAAGGTCAAATTTTGTCATTCAAAACATAATACAATTCAGTTTCAAATGAATCAAGAATTGTTCTAAGAAAAAGGGAAAAGGAAGGTTTTCTTAGAAGCAAGCAGTGGGCATTTAGTGAATGCAAGGCCATAAAATGGTGAAAGGAATGCTAAGGTGCCATGTTCATGCTTCTACTTGAGGCAGTTGGCACCTGGAAGGAAGATAAGCCTTGAATCAACTAGGAAACAAGTTAAATGATGCTAGTATACTATTGAAAGAGAGGAAATACTAGTGTTTGTTTTCTATGACCTCTATTCAACCTCATCACTGATTTTTCTCACCAGACATAGGATTCATATAGTGTGTTTTCTGTTGCTGCATAATGAAAGTGAAAGTGAAGTCGCTCAGTCGTATCCGACTCTTTGCGACCCAGTGGACTGTAGCCTACCAGGCTCCTCTGTCCGTGGTATTCTCCAGGCAAGAATACTGGAGTGGGTTACTATTCCCTTCTCCAGGGAATCTTCCCAACCCAGGAATCGAAGCCGGGTCTCCCGCATTGGAGGCAGACGCCTTAACCTCTGAGCCACCAGGGAAGCCCAGGTTACCACAAACTTAGTGGCTTACAACAACTCATTTATTATCTCACTAGTCTGTAGGTTAGAGTCTGGGCATAGTGTGCCTGGGTTTTCTGCTCAGAGTCTCACTGAGCTGATATCATCATGTCAGTTAGGACTGTGGTTCTCATCTGGGGCTTGAAGTGCTCTTCCAGGCTCTCTGGCTGTTGGCAG